TAATACATGAAACACAAGGGATCATGTGCTCCGATTGAGCACGTGACAAGCTGCGGGGGCTTGCCTCCTGAAATTTGAGGCTTTACCCCAGGGTGTTGCTGGTATATTCCATGCTAGCTTCCTTGTTAGTGTTCGACTTATTTTACTAGTCTGCACTGACAGAAATGCCTAGCATGTGATGGGGTGTTATAATGCAACACACACACCCCAAAAAACAGGTCTCTGCATAGAATTTCCCCAGTGACTGATAAGGGTTGAGCTGGCCATATCCACCAGAGAAAAATGAGGAAAAAAAACAGAATAAATTTACAGGCCTTGGCTGGGTGACAAATTTGGTTAGTATTGGGATTGAATATTTGTCTTAATTTAATGCATTTGTCAAACAGTCCCCAATCCTTTCCTTTACACAGGCTACTACATTGTCAATAAAAGCTTCAGCAGTCTACCAGGTAAGCCATGAGTCTGCAATGTGGTAGTCAGTAAGGTGGTACCACAGATGCTTTGGCACATGCAAAACTGAATACCAGAAAATCTTGGGAGATTTCAGATAACAAACTCACAAGACTTTGAGTAAAAACTCCAAATCTTTCAGAGATATATCGTGAGATTGTAATTTTTTAAAAAAATATTTTTGAGCTTTCATCAGTATCGTCATAGATCATAAATTTGGAACCACTGCAACACTGTGAAAGAAATCAGCAAAAGTATCTGTAAGAAAAAAGTTTGAGATGAAGTTTAACTTGGGACAATGTGTTAGCACTTACCAGTTATAACCAATAACTGGTATGAGAGTCTGTTTGGGGGTAATATAAACTATTTCTAATGACGAGATGTTAGATATTTGCCTTATGTTCTATTTGTGAATCGCTCTGTTAATCTCTATTTTCTAACAGAACAGAAAGTAAGAGCAGCTAATGATCCATCCTAGCAGCAGCATTCCTTGTCTTGTCTCTACCAAATGTTGGGTTAGAACGTGTCAAATATTTGTAACTACCTTTTCAAGTAAAAACTCTGCTCAGTATTATATGTATGTGCTACCTTCCAGTAAGAGATGGCTCATTTCCAAGATCACCTAATGTGAAGTATATGTCATATGTAGCGGATTAGTTGCTGGATTCAAGTTATTCACTTATCCATGGCGCTCAACCAACTGACCTGTTGTTGTGGGGAGCATATTAGGAAGCAATCAGTCATCTTCATTTATCAAAAAAAAAGTTGGGGCATAAGTGTAATTACTACATAAGTAAAATGTACCCACATATGGAATGGATTACATATACTGTATGTTGTGTTCAAATTTTTAAAATTGATTGGGAAGTTATCCTCTTTTCAGACAAAGACAATTTACAGAAAGAGCCTGAGATCTATTGTTGGAGCATGCTACACAACTGTATAACTCATAAAAACATTTATTTTTATCCCATCTTCCTTCGTTCACAAAACTCAAAGCAGAATACACAGGCTTTCCTGGCTCCCATCCAAGCACTGACAAATGCCAGGTTTGCTGAGTTGTAGCTAGACTGCTACATGGTATACCTTCAATTATTCCTTTGGAACCATTAGCCTTATTGAAGAATTGCCAGATTATTTGTTTTCAATAGGACTTGATGTCTGTGGTAAAGCTAGAGGTTGATATTAGTATTTAAAATTGATTACATTAATATACATATGCTATGTCTCATGGATTCCCAAATCAATTACACCATCTTAAAACAAAAGGCACAATAAAATAACAGCAAAAAAGGATAACTATAATTGATGGCAACTGTTACTTTTTAAAAAATAGCTTGCAAAATAATCCCAGCTTGTTTGTCCAATTCCTGATTCGTCTTCAACTTTTTTTTTGCCATTGTGGATGGAGGACACAGCCAAGACAGACTAAATCAGGAATAAGGTAGGATGCTGTTTTCAAAGATTGTAAGTCAGAGTCTGTAAATCAATGAGTTATCACATCAACTAACTAATCAAGATCTGCTGATGAGCAAGACGGGTTTCAGGATTGAAAAAAAGGTGAGATACCTGGGGGTGATTTTGTCAACTAAAAATAGTGTGCTGTTCCGGAATAACTATGGTATAATCTGGAATGAAGTGAAAAAAGATTTGGTAAGATGGGAAAAAGTACAACTGTCTCTCATGGGGAGAATCTCTCTGATTAAAATGAATATTTTGCCTAGGATGCTGTTTCTTTTTCAGACTATGCTGAATTTGACTACAGATTTACTGTTTAAACAGTGGCAGAAAGATATATCTAAGTTCATTTGGCAAGGCAAAAAACTGAGAATTAAATATAAATTGTTACAAGAT